CGCCCGTGCTGCAGCACCCAGCAATGCTCTCATACAAACACTCTAAATCTCCAGCTTAGCGTCTCTCACGAGGCAACCTATATCTCTAGCTTAGTGACTCTCACGAGAGTCGCCAAAAAGCTTGTCCTATCTCTACTCTGCTCTCATGCAAACAATCTATATCTTCAGCTTAGTAGTTCTCTCGCGAGTCTGCAAAAAACTTGGTCTATCTCTACTCTGTTCTCAAGCAGGTAACCTATATCTCCAGTTTAGCGGCTCTCACAAGAGTTGTCAAAAAGCTTAGCCTATCTCTGCTCTGCNTTAGTGACTCTCACGAGAGTCGCCAAAAAGCTTGTCCTATCTCTACTCTGCTCTCAAACAAACAATCTATATCTTCAGCTTAGCAGTTCTCTCGCGAGTCTGCAAAAAACTTGGTCTATCTCTACTCTGCTCTCAAGCAGGTAACCTATATCTCCAGTTTAGCGGCTCTCACAAGAGTTGCCAAAAAGCTTAGCCTATCTCTGCTCTGCTCGTAAGCAGACAACTTATATCTCTAACTTAATGGTTCTCTCGCGAGTCTCCAAAATGTTTGGCATATCTCTGCTTTACTCTCAAGCAAACAACCTATGTCTCTAGCTTAGCGGCTCTCATGTGAGTTGCCACAAACTCGTGCTAACTTAGCCTTTNAGCAGACAACTTATATCTCTAACTTAATGGTTCTCTCGCGAGTCTCCAAAATGTTTGGCATATCTCTGCTCTGCTCTCAAGCAAACAACCTATGTCTCTAGCTTAGCGGCTCTCATGTGAGTTGCCACAAACTCGTGCTAACTTAACCTGTGCTTACACTCAAACAACCTCATTCTCCAAAAGCTCGGCCTCAAAAGTTATTGATCTCATGAGCCAACCTCAACTGCTCTTCTGTAGCCTGATGCCTTGGTATCTCTTCCACCAAAACTCTTGACACCTCGTTGAGTTTGAGCATCTTCAAAAGTATTAAAAAGTCGCAGTCATCCGCAAATTTCTAAAAGTCAGAATGTCAGCATGACCAAGCATACAGAAGACATGGTTCCACATAACAACAGGGTACCATAGCAAAGTCCTCTATCTCGGTATCAATGATACCATCAAGACTCCGAGAGCTGACATCCAAGGGTGTCACAAACCTCCAAAGCCTATTTTTAGCCAAAATTCACATCTTGCGGCAGGGACACCAGGCTATTGCTATAAGCAAGGTAGCTATGTGAAGTGCTGGGGGCATCAAACCCCGTCTTTCGAGAAATAGCAGGACCGTCAAACCTCAACTAGGAAGCACTGGGCATCAGATCTCACCCCTTCTAAGAGGAGGGGAAGTCACCATCCTAGTGACGTAGAGAGCCTTCACCATTGATCCATCAACTATGTGATCAAATGAGAAAGAGAGAATTTTCATAAACCAAAGACATTATCAATTTGCCTGGGGCCTCCATGGCATCGCCCAGCCTTGCACCTTCCCTAGTGTTGCCTAGGTTCATATTCATGGTGCTATTCACCAAAGCATCTCCATCTCCATGTGTTGAAGTGTCCATTATTTTTTTCATCCTCTCTCCAACAGTAGCGTTACCAAATAGAGAAATAAGCATTAAAAATGCCATGGAGTGGAAAGCTAAAGAAGCTATCTTATGGAACAAAATATCTGTTCTACCCAAAGGAAAGAAGCTCACTCATGCCCTTAACCCTAATCACTACTAGGGCTTAGGGTATGGGGGCAAATGACGAGCCTAGATTTAACTGGGCCATGTCTAATTAATGAGATAGGCTCAAATCAGCTACAAGGCGGGTCAAACCCAATTCATGGATTCGGTCCAGTCCAGAGTTCAAGGAGTTTAGAAGGATTAACACATGTAGGAGTAATTACTGGGATAGCTGCTCTCGAGATCAATACAATCTTTAATTGTACTTATCGGAGCTAACCCTTGTTCTCTCTCTCTCACCTACTATTTCATCAATAAAGATTTCTCTGCCACCGTTGCTATTTTTCGGAGTAGAGTAAGTCATCTGGATCGAATCACTATAAATGTGTGTATTGACCCGATATTTACATTATTATCATTGATTACTGTATTAATTATTCATTAATAACACTTTATCACACACTCGATTCTTGATCTTGTATAAGACCGTGTTGTGTATCATCAAAAATAATAAAAAATTGTGTGTTATCTGATGGGTTAAGCCCAAATAGTCCAATTTNTCAATGCCTCCTTCTCCAAGTCTCCTTGGACATGGGGCATTGGGGGGCAAATGATGGGTTAAGCCCAAATAGTCCAATTTATGTGTTAAAATCCAACCCCAGTTGAGGAGCCCAACCTAATTTTGATTCCACCAAGTCCAAGACAGTCCAAGATCGGTTAGACTTTTTGCTTAGCACGTCACCAAGAGGAGAGCATGGGAAGCTTATCTGCACCACCGAAGGAAACGGTCCAATCTTTGACCACGTTTCATGAAGAGCTCCCCAACCTCCTCCTTCCGTTGAGGATAAGTCGTGATCTCCACCAAGAATAATCTCTTAGCTGCGATAAAGAAGCCTTGAAGATATGTCATGATCTCCACGAGAATGATCTCTTAGCTGCTATAAAATAGCTCCAATCTGGTAGAAGAGAAAAAAAGGTCACGCCCCACCAACACTTACAGAGGATAGATCGACGACTGGAGACCACTTTCTTTGATTCTCCACTCTCTCAAAGCTTGTATCTCTATTCTCCATACCTCTGAATTAATAAAATACCCGGCAACTGAAGCCATTGAAGAGTGGACGTAGGTCGAATTGACCGAACCACTATAAATTGTGTCTTCTTTAATTCTTTCACTGCATTTATTATTTACACTTGACAGGTAATTTACAAAACCATTTTTATGCATCGTCACTATCTACGTCGAATTAAAAAAAAAAAACCAAATCGACTTTTGTTCTTTTGTTTCCTAGCTGGCCACTCTGGCNACTCGATCCATGAACCAACACGAAGACAATCCTCCACGAGAGGAGGAGGTTGCTCCCCCGCCTATCAACCCTGTTCTGGATACTCTAGCCCCGAATCCCCAGCAAATATTGGAGACCATGCAGCAACTGGTTGCTCAAAACCAGCAGTTACTGCAACTCATACTTGCTGGACAGGGAGGTGCACAGCATGGAGGACCCCAAGGAGGAGCACACGGAGATGCACAACATGGAGGGCCCCACGGAGGTGCACAACATGGAGCACCCCAAGGAGCTCCACGCCCTGCACATCAAAGAGCTCCACGCCCTGCACATCAAGTTGCTCCATACCCTGCACATCAAGCAGCTCCACACCCTGTACATCAAGCAGCTCCAAAACTTGTTGCTCCCTATTTGGGCCCCCCATTTGGAGTTCCCTTGGGTGCCCTTCATAGGGGAGCGCCCCACGGGGGACCTCCACCTCCTCTTCTAGCTCCCTTTTCTCATGGTGGGGGCTTTCTTTTCCAAGAGGACAAAGGTGAGAACCAGAGCATGGAGCATGAAAGCCATTTCCAACATGATTCAAAAGGAGCTCCCAACCACTTGGACGAAAAAATAAAAGAGGTACAAAATCAACTAGACGACATTTTCAACACTATAAAAGCACAGAGACCCGAGACAGTGGACTGCCTGGTAATTCGAACCAACACACCCTTCGTACCTAACGTGACGAACTACCCACTTCCCAAGAAGTTTAAAATGTCATCCGTTGAAACCTTTGACGGTACGAAGGACCCACTTGATCACCTCGAAACTTTTAAGACCATGATGCAACTACACAGCATCCCTGACAAAATTATGTGTAGGACATTCCCAATTACCTTGAAGGGATCAGCGCGACAATGGTTTGCCAAACTCACCCCGGCCTCCATAGGCTCCTTCGCCGAACTGAGCAGATCCTTTATGACACAATTCATTAGTGGACGCCGCTAGCAGCAGCCTGTCATCCATCTGCTCAGCATAAAACAGGATCGTAATGAGAGTCTAAGGAGTTACCTCACTCGTTTTAACGAGGAAGTCCTCCAAATCGAGGAACCCAACGACAAAGTCGCCATGACTGCCTTCCTAGGAGGCCTCTGCTCATCCAGATTCCTTTTTTCAGTAATAAAGCAACCACCAAAGAGCATGCCAGAACTATTCACAANATCAAGTTTCCTTTTCTCAGTTCTGAAGCGCCCACCGAAGAGCATGCCAGAACTATTCACAAAAGCTCAAAGATATATGAATGCTGAGGAAATCAACAAGTTTAGGCAAGGTGAATCATCCCACAGATCACCAGAAACTTGACCTGCCTCTTCACTGTTCTCAAACAGGCAGTCTATCTCCAGCTTAGCGGCTCTCTCACAGGTCGCCAAAAAAACTTGGCCTCTGCACTGTTCTCAAACAGGCAGCCTATCTCTAGTTTAGCGGCTCTCTCACGGGTCGCCAAAAAACTTGGCCTCTGCACTGTTCTCAAACAGGCAGCCTATCTCTAGTTTAGCGGCTCTCTCACGGGTCGCCAAAAAACTTGGCCTCTGCACTGTTCTCAAACAGACAGCCTATCTCCAGTTTAGTGGCTCTCTCACGGATCGCCAAAAAAACTTGGCATCTGCATTGTTCTCAAACAGGCAGCCTATCTCCAGTTTAGCGGCTCTCTCACGGGTCGCCAAAAAACTTGGCCTCTGCACTGTTCTCAAACAGGCAGCCTATCTCCAGTTTAGCGGCTCTTTCACGGATCGCCAAAAAACTTGGCCTCTGCACTGTTCTCAAACAGGCAGNAAAAAAAAAAACCAGATCGACTTTTGTTCTTTTGTTTCCTAGCTGGCCTCTGTGGCCCTTTCCTTCCCAGCCAAAAGGTCAAAGTCGGTTAGGGTTCAGTCACCAGAATAAAAGACCCTTCTTCCAACCAAACGCCGTAGCCTGTAAACGTAGAGATAAGAGAGGATTGATTTGATTTGGTGTCATAAGGAAAGAAAACAGAAAGACTAGCAGACGCGCTGCCGAACAAACCACTGGGTATATTCAGGGGATGGCCATGGGAATGTGTGAAGGAGAGGAGCGTATGGGTTTGGGTTTGGGTTCTTCTTCTTCTTCTTGTTCTTCGAATACTAGTGCGTATCATTCTTCAGTTTCATCATCAGCTGCTACACCCATCGGCTCCTCTAATATTGGTTTTCAGGTCTGCTTTCCTTTCCTATTCTTTGCCCCCCTCTCTCTCTACAAGCACATGCACATACGCACTCGCACACTTGGAGACACATATGCCTATGGGTGACGGTAGGGTTTCTTGAATTTTTTATTTTTCTTCATATGCTACATTTTATTTGTGGTGTTTTTGGAATTGGTAGTGTAACATGTTCCTGTGTATGGATTATTTGCAGTTGTTGAAGAAGCACGGATGGAAAGAAGGAACCGGCCTTGGTGTTTGTGAACAGGTTGGCTGTTTCTATTCTCTTTATTTGTAAATGTGTGTATATATATGTTTCAATCTGACTTAATTTCGCCTTCCTGAATGAATTCATGCAAGTAATAGTATCTACGTTGGTTCATTGGTTGATTTTATTACCATTTGTAATGTAATTTTTCACATGAAAAAGAGAGATCGTTTGCTGCACAATAATATTAGCACTAGTAATCAAACGTTTATGGTCATCCAAGCAGTCCACACACACTAAGGGCTTGTTTGGACGAATTTTGGGGAGGGGTTTGGATTGGCTTCTCCGAACCCTTTCAAACTCTAACCGCTCTTTATAAAAATGGAATTCAACATTCAATCCGGTCCATACCTATATTTGGTATGTAACAAATATACATATAGGACCCACAGATATATTATAATTATTAACAACTATTTATCTTATAAATAGCTATTTTATCTTATAAATAACTATTTTATCTTTGATCAATCCAATTCATACACATTTTAAGGAGTACAATTGTCTTTTGCATCCTTAACCCTTTACCCATCTTCCCAAACCCATTCTTTCACTAGATTTGATGAAANGGGAAGCTTATCTGCACCACCAAAGGAAACGGTCCAAATCCACCAAGTCCAAGACAGTCAAAGACCGGTTAGACTTTTTGCTTAGCACGTCACCAAGAGGAGAGCATGAGAGGCTTATCTGCACCACCGAAGGAAACGGTCCAATCTTTGACCACGTTTCATGAAGAGCTCCCCAACCTCCTCCTTCCGTTGAGGATAAGTCGTGATCTCCACCAAGAATAATCTCTTAGCTGCGATAAAGAAGCCTTGAGGATAAGTCGTGATCTCCACCAAGAATAATCTTTTAGCTACGATAAAGAAGCCTTGAAGATATGTCATGATCTCCACGAGAATGATCTCTTAGCTGCTCTAAAATAGCTCCAATCTGGTAGAAGAGAAAAAAAGGTCACGCCCCACCAATACTTCCAGAGGATAGATCGACGACCGGAGACCACTTTCTTTGATTCTCCATTCTCTCAAAGCTTGTATCTCTATTCTCCATACCTCTGAATTAATAAAATACCCGGCAACTGAAGTCATTGAAGAGTGGACGTAGGTCGAATTGACCGAACCACTATAAATTGTGTCTTCTTTAATTCTTTCATCGATTTCACTGCATTTATTATCTACACTTGACAGGTGATTTATAAAACCATTTTTGTGCATCATCATTATCTACGTCGAATTAAAAAAAAAAAACCAGATCGACTTTTGTTCTTTTGTTTCCTAGCTGGCCTCTGTGGCCCTTTCCTTCCCAGCCAAAAGGTCAAAGTCGGTTAGGGTTCAGTCACCAGAATAAAAGACCCTTCTTCCAACCAAACGCCGTAGCCTGTAAACGTAGAGATAAGAGAGGATTGATTTGATTTGGTGTCATAAGGAAAGAAAACAGAAAGACTAGCAGACGCGCTGCCGAACAAACCACTGGGTATATTCAGGGGATGGCCATGGGAATGTGTGAAGGAGAGGAGCGTATGGGTTTGGGTTTGGGTTCTTCTTCTTCTTCTTGTTCTTCGAATACTAGTGCGTATCATTCTTCAGTTTCATCATCAGCTGCTACACCCATCGGCTCCTCTAATATTGGTTTTCAGGTCTGCTTTCCTTTCCTATTCTTTGCCCCCCTCTCTCTCTACAAGCACATGCACATACGCACTCGCACACTTGGAGACACATATGCCTATGGGTGACGGTAGGGTTTCTTGAATTTTTTATTTTTCTTCATATGCTACATTTTATTTGTGGTGTTTTTGGAATTGGTAGTGTAACATGTTCCTGTGTATGGATTATTTGCAGTTGTTGAAGAAGCACGGATGGAAAGAAGGAACCGGCCTTGGTGTTTGTGAACAGGTTGGCTGTTTCTATTCTCTTTATTTGTAAATGTGTGTATATATATGTTTCAATCTGACTTAATTTCGCCTTCCTGAATGAATTCATGCAAGTAATAGTATCTACGTTGGTTCATTGGTTGATTTTATTACCATTTGTAATGTAATTTTTCACATGAAAAAGAGAGATTGTTTGCTGCACAATAATATTAGCACTAGTAATCAAACGTTTATGGTCATCCAAGCAGTCCACACACACTAAGGGCTTGTTTGGACGAATTTTGGGGAGGGGTTTGGATTGGCTTCTCCGAACCCTTTCAAACTCTAACCGCTCTTTATAAAAATGGAATTCAACATTCAATCCGGTCCATACCTATATTTGGTATGTAACAAATATACATATAGGACCCACAGATATATTATAATTATTAACAACTATTTATCTTATAAATAACTATTTTATCTTATAAATAACTATTTTATCTTTGATCAATCCAATTCATACACATTTTAAAGAGTACAATTGTCTTTTGCATCCTTAACCCTTTACCCATCTTCCCAAACCCATTCTTTCACTAGATTTGATAAAACTCATGATCATGAGTTTAATTTTTGGGCCAGCTATGGACCGAGTTTGGGAACCCGGACTAAACTTTCAATCCAAGCATGAGATTTGGGGGTCCTTTGGACTATTTTTCTCAAACCCATCTTGCCAACAACCCCCCCCCCCCAAAAAAAAAAAAAAAAAAAAAAAAAAAAAAATCCCCCCTTACCAAACATCCCCCAAGTCCACATAATTAATTTAATAGTATTTGTTGGCATTGACACATGCCCCACTTTTCAATGGTGATTTATGTAATAGATATGCAAAATTTTTTGAGTGAATTCAAACAATTCAAGTACTTAAGTTTAAATGGGTTAATTAGAGCATCTACCAAACCCTCAAAGTAAACTTAAGTACAAACATTTGCAAGTTGGGTATTTATTTAATACTGTAGTTTAGGTGCCTCGAGTACAATAATATCATTGATAGTGCGTTGCATAATACATAAAAAATGTTACAACATTCATTATAAAGCTCATGTTCATGATAACTCAGGGACTGAACCCCCCTCATTTCCAAGTCTATGTCCTGCAAAATGATGATTGGAATCAGCCAACGTCTAGTAGTGAAACAACTATTGAGTTTTAATCCCATCTCACATGACATAGCTATCCTATGCACGAAAATCTTAAGTAATATTTGTAACAAATAATTATAACAATGTCATACTTAGAACATGCTTAAAGCATCACATATGATGTACCAACAAATAAGATGCTCACGAGTAAAAGTAAATCTTTCGATTTAGCATGTATACAATATTACCAACTAATGTCTTCGGTCCCACCAATTTTTGTGCTTCAATCTATGTCCATTGTTGCCAACTCAATATTTGATGTCCAAAAATAATTGGGGAATATTGGGTCCGTTCGAGGGCTCTAACCTCGGGTGTACCCCACCATCTTGTTCTTAGATGCTTTCAATTAGGGCACGAATAACGACGCACCTCGGCGGATGCTATACTTGATCAAGACTTGTTTTGGTCTTTCACCCCGGGGAGGAGCGATCCCTGCTTATTTGTTTCTATCTTTTTTCAACTGTTGTCATTTCGTGTATCACATTATCGGTTATATATACTAATCAACATCATCACGTATGATATACCTTCCATCGAAATCCCATTCAATATGTACATGTGCAATTAGGAACAAGCATTTCAATATTAGTTCGACACACACACATATATATGTATNGTATATATATACGAGTATATACTACTTTGACCATTGTATCATTATCACCATTATGAGCATGTCGACATAAATCATCCAACACATCTCGTGTATATTTCCATACTTTAGTGGTTGTTAATCTTAATAAGTAATATCATCCTTACTTATACAATCAATTTATATTCTTCATAACCCTGAGTGTTGTATATATCACCAAGGAATACACTCCTGAAGGCCTAACAATATGTAATAGCCTCTTTATTTTGAGTTTTAAAAGCTTTTGGGGTCATTATATAATTTCTTGAAACATTATCTAGCAATTAGGGGTCAATTTGTAATTTTTAAAACTATCTCATAACCGTTTGGGGGTCAATGTAAAGTTTCAGAACTTTCACATAGTGTTTGGAAAGGTTTTATAAATTGTTGGTACCATTTTATATTTTTTTAAACTCGTCTATCATTAGGGGTTACTTTGTAAATTTTACTTCATAACTCTCTGGGGTCAATGTACTATTTCAAAAACATTTCCTAACTATTTAAAAATTTGGATATAAGGGGCCATNACGAGTATATACTACTTTGACCATTGTATCATTATCACCATTATGAGCATGTCGACATAAATCATCCAACACATCTCGTGTATATTTCCATACTTTAGTGGTTGTTAATCTTAATAAGTAATATCATCCTTACTTATACAATCAATTTATATTCTTCATAACCCTGAGTGTTGTATATATCACCAAGGAATACACTCCTGAAGGCCTAACAATATGTAATAGCCTCTTTATTTTGAGTTTTAAAAGCTTTTGGGGTCATTATATAATTTCTTGAAACATTATCTAGCAATTAGGGGTCAATTTGTAATTTTTAAAACTATCTCATAACCGTTTGGGGGTCAATGTAAAGTTTCAGAACTTTCACATAGTGTTTGGAAAGGTTTTATAAATTGTTGGTACCATTTTATATTTTTTTAAACTCGTCTATCATTAGGGGTTACTTTGTAAATTTGACTTCATAACTCTCTGGGGTCAATGTACTATTTCAAAAACATTTCCTAACTATTAAAAATTTGGATATAAGGGGCCTTTCTATAATTAAGTCAAAAACTCATACTTTTTCCTTTACTTACGTCCCGCTATTGGATTGTTCTTCCCCTCTTTTTTTTTCTTTTTCTTTTTACACTCCAACTCAAAATCCATCCCAAAGTCTTAAATTGTCCTTTAGGAAATTTTGATATGGATTTCTAGATGAAATGTATAAAGCAATTTGAGATATATGTAAACACATCAAAATGTAAAACCTATTTGAGAAACCTACACATCCAAATATGTATATAGGCATATCCACATAAACACCCACATATGTATAATTCCTTCAACATTTTTGATACATATGTATAGATCCATCACAATATATACACCGCATATATAGATCAACAAATATATACCTAGGGTATGTTTAAATCGTGGCTTAAAATGGGATAACACCAGTAGGATAGGAGAAAAAATATGTGGGGCCATTTATCCCATGTTTGGTAAGCAAAAAAGTGTACTGAAAATTCCACTTGGGTTTATCCCTACCCAGTTTGAAAAGTCAAAGTTAAGTTGCCAATGTGGGTTAAATGAAACCCGAGGGGGGCTGGGATATTTTTTACACAGACTGGATAAGTGAGGAAAATGACAGATTTGCCCAAAGCCAAACTTACCCTACCCTTTCTTTAGGTCTACTTGTCTTCTATCATCGGTAGTTGCTAGTACTCTTTCCCAGCGTGCCTCCTCCTGCCCAGCATCGCTACTTCTTGTTGAAGCTTCGCCAGAGTTGGGTAAATCTTTTTACTCCATAAATTTCATTCCCAACCTCAAAACCCAGAACTTGTTGCTTTTGTTCCGTCTGCAAATCATTTAAACTTGTAGCATTTTGAGACCAATGGAACTCTGGCTGATGCCTTGTAACTGTTTCTTGAGCATCGTCTTCATATTCTTATTGTTGTATATATATATATATCAATGGAGTTAGGATTAGTTAAAAGTTGTTTCTATCANAGTTGGGTAAATCTTTTTACTCCATAAATTTCATTCCCAACCTCAAAACCCAGAACCTGTTGCTTTTGTTCCGTCTGCAAATCATTTAAACTTGTAGCATTCTAAGACCAATGGAACTCTGGCTGATGCCTTGTAACTGTTTCTTGAGCATCGTCTTCATATTCTTATTGTTGTATATATATATATATCAATGGAGTTAGGATTAGTTAAAAGTTGTTTCTATCAATTAAAACTTTTTTTTATCAATTGGGTATGTAATATTTTTCTTATTTGCATCGAATTATCTCACAATAAGGGTTCTCATTGGTGGGTTCATGATAAATTTTTCTTTGAAAGTGATCAGTAATTTCTTTGAATTGAAATTAAGTTAATAATTTGTGATGAATTGGTTAATTCAACTTTGGAGCATGACCAATTTGCCTTTTTATTGGAAATGGAAGAAGTCACATTCTTTCTTCAAACGAAAGTGATACATCTGTCTCAAGGAAATTGAAGCACTAGACAGAATAATTGATATAAAAGTAATACATTTGTCTATTAATATATGGTGTTAATGGTTACAATATATTCATAAATGTTTATTTTATATATTAATGAGTTGTAAAAATAATTGATATAAAAGTTTATTTTTTTGTTTGGAATGGAATGAAGGGTAATTTATGAACCAGCCATGGATGTGGATTGGATATGACAGGGATATTATAGTCAATGATAACATATTTGACTCATTTTTGCTGGAGGAATCCAATGGTAAAGTCCGTTTTCTTATCTGAGTTTTCCATTAGAAGCCAATATATTAATTTAAACTATGTGTTTTCACAGACATCGATGTATTTTTACATGTCTTCTTGGGAATGATGAAGTCACATCTTAGTCTTTTTTTTCTGATAGAAAACAAAACTCTTGTATTGATTTGAAATTAATGTCAAAGAGTTAATAGGATGGAGAAGATGTCTAACCATAAAATGAAAAAAATAAAAACTACACTCAACTCAACACTAAAAAAATTAAGGGGCCCATGAGGCTTTCCAATCCACCAAAATACAAAATAGCAGCACAAATCTGATCCTATAAACCCTCCATCCATTTGGCTCTATCCTTGAATATCATCGAGTTTCTCTCCAACCAAATTACCCATATTATGACAAAAATTGCACAATGCCAAATGGTCACCCTTTTCCAACTTTTCCAAATCCTTCAAATTCTTGCATCAACATTGAAGAAAAAGTTTATGGAATCACCCATTGTAATCTCACTGATTGAAATAGCTTGGACCACACAAATATAGCAATAGGGAAATGCAAAAAAAGGTAATCAATACTTTCATTGTTACAGCACACATCACACATAATTGTGGAGAAATCCTCATAAATGGTCTTCTTCACTGCATCATATCATTTGAATTAATCCTACCATGAGCTAGATCTATGCACAAACTTGTACCTTGCTTGGCACTCTAGCCTTCCAAATCATCACAGAGGGAGGAAACACATGATACAAAGGATCATTACTCAACTTATCAAAATAAGATTTACATGAAAAAAAACCCCGAAGACTCAAGAACCCACTTTCTTTTATCATTTAATTCATGACACAACTTGATGTCATTAAACAAGGAAATAATTCACACCACTTCCATAGTATCTCTATGATTAAGATGCATACGGAACCCAAAATCATAAGAGATTGATTGATTAGAGTAATTACACATCGATGCAATAGAACGCCCATGAAAACAAGATACTTGATAAAGACGTGGAAACAAACCAAAAAAAAATAATATCCCAATTTAAACATCCTCCCAAAATCGAATTCTCTCCACGTTTCCCACAATGAATGTAACATTTTGAAAAAATCTTGAAAGTCCCTGAGAAATAAATTTTCATGGGCAGCGACAAGATCCTCGGTCTATCCCAGTAACATCCCACCGATTGGCTTGTAACCCATATTTTCTCTTAATAACCAAATACCATAGTGAATTTTGTTCCATTGAAAATCTCCAAAGCCATTTGCCAACAAGAGCGACATTTCTTGCCTTCAAATTCCCAATCGAAAGACACCTTTTACCAATGAGCCTTTTTCCCTTCTCCATTTCCTTCCCACAAAAAATCTCTCATCATTTTCTCTAATCTCATTGCAATCTTTCCTGACAATTGAAGGAGAGAGAGAAAATAAGTCAATATACTAGCCAAAATTGATTGGATCAACGTTAATCTACTCTCTTTAGAAATATATGCTCTCTTTCACCCATCCGACCATTTTCTCACTTTTTTTACAATTGGATCCCAAAAAGCTAAGAACAAAGGATTCCCCCTTAAAGGAAGACCTAAATACCTTAACAACCATTGTCCCACACCACTGTCCAATATCCCAGCTAGTCTAGAAATTTTCTCATGAGAGGAATTTACACCTACAATCACTCTTTTCTCCATGTTAACTCTTAAACCTAATACCCTTCCAAACACCACCACTATCTATTTTAAATTATGAAAATTTTCCTCATCTCCCAATGAAAAGAAAGATAATATCAACAAAAAATTGCAAATGTGTCACAAGGATTCTATCCATTCCAATAACAAAGCATTTCACTAGAATAATTCTCTGTGCTCTTCTGATTTGCCAGCTCAAATCGTTAGCAACTAAAGTAAAAGAGAAAAAGGGATAAATGATCTCCTTGCCTCAATCCTTTAGTTGTTGTAAACCAGTAAACCTTCCCCTAGGCTTTCCATTGATTCAACTTCTCCATTACTTTCAAAACCTTTAATTTTCAAGAGATAATTCAAAAAACTCCAATCCACATGGTCATAGGCCTTTTCAAAGTCAATTTTAAACCCAATACCTTCTTTACCCCTTGATCTATTATCCTCCCCCACCTCATTAGCTACCAAAGTTNAATTCAAAAAACTCCAATCCACATGGTCATAGGCCTTTTCAAAGTCAATTTTAAACACAATACCTTCTTTACCCCTTGATCTATTATCCTCCCCCACCTCATTAGCTACCAAAGCTGCATATAAAATTTGTGTTCAGCGAATAAAGGCACCCTAACACTTCAAAATTGTCTCACTAAGTACTTACCTCAATCTGATTGACAACACCTTTGCAATGGTTTTATAAAGGCTAGACACAAGGCTAATCGGTCTAAAATCCTTCATTTTCAATGATTTGTCCTTTTTGGGGATGAGACAAATAAATGTAGCATTGGTAACTGGCAATTAGATCGATATAAAACAAACATATATGATTTTTTATTTGTTTGACCAGGATTATGTTTAGTCATTATTCTTTTACAAGTTGCCCCCGTTTGATATATCCAAAATGCTAGTCCAATGGCCATAATTACTGCTGAAAACAAGGATGGATCATGGTTGAGAAGTTGAATGATCTGATTTTGGTTAGAATTTGTGCTTTTTATCGTAATATAAGCTCGGAATGCTCAAGCTCTTGGCTTAATCAAAACCGGATTAGGACAAGAGTTAAATAATACGGAGTCTCTTGTTTCTGGTAGCCTAGTGTCAAACCATACTCCTTCAAGTACCTCCAGTACGCCTCAATTTCTATGTGCTGAGATACAGAACTGCCATTTCATTCATGTTTCTACTCTACATACGTGACACCATGTAAGGATTCCACTTGATTATTCCTTGCAAACCAGCGTACTGCTACATGTAGTTTGCTCTATCAAGTTTGTGTTGGATGACAAAATTCTATGGGAAAACATGAAGAAATTTGGGTGTATGTTTATACTATTTTAGATATACACTTGTAAAGAATAATGCTGATATTAGATCGTATTGGTTTATGCAGTCAGTTTTGCCTAGGTTTTAGTGTGGTGAATCATGGAAGCTTGATGTTCCATGTAACCAATGAATTACAAGGATATACATGTATATGTTTTGACAAGAGACCATTTAGTTTAATTCATGAAGTGCAATTTGAATATGTGTTTTATTTTCCTAACAAGGCACAAAGTGATATTCTCCACTATACTTGATGATGATGGTATGAAGGTTTCAAATGGACTGATGCTGAGTGAGTAGTGGAGTGGTTGGACTTGTCTTGGCCTTAGTCGGGTTGGAAGTATATTGGAACTGATGTAGATCGTAATAGCTCTGATACCAAATTGATGCAGATTAAGAAAGGAAGAATTAAGGATGAGAAAAGAAGAAGAAAGGGATGAGAAAAGAGAAAGAATTTGATAAGGAAGCAATATTAGTATTCAATAATAATTAATAATAATCAAAGTCTAATCTAAATAAAACCCTTACACGCATCTTTTTATATAGTGAAATTAAAATACTAAAACAAATAAATAATAAAAAATAAACTCTCAAAAGTTAAAAGAAAATACTTAAAAGATAAATACTAAATTATTCTCATGATTAATCTAAATCATCTAATTCCTATACGATTCCCATCATTCTCCTCAGGTTGAGAAAAATATTTTTCCGGAGACTATTCAAAATAGAAGTACCCTAAGAGAGTAGAATGAAGATGACAAAACAATTCATCTAGAATGAAAAAATCATCAATATCTTTCCATCGATCAGAATAAATGTAAGAATCTTCATCTGTAGTAATGTAAATCTGGTCACGTAGCACATCATCTATTTGACTTAAAATATGCTGTGGAAGTGGAAAGATAAGAACTGGAGCTAGTGCTGACGAAGAAGCAATTCCACATGTAGAAACACTGGATAACAAAGTAGGAGGTTCTGGAGTATCTCGATTAAGTAACATGTCCTCCAAATTAAAATCTGGACTAATACTAACATTCAATAAAAAATTAAACACATAAGTATTAGATCCAAACTCAAGAATAGCAAAGCAATTTATTGTGATACAAAATTGATGTAGATCGTAATAGCTCTGATACCAAATTGATGTAGATCGTAATAATTCTAATACCAAATTGATGTAGACTATGAAGGGAAGAATTAGAGATGTGAAGAGAAGAAGAAAGGGATGAGAAAAGAAAAAAATTTTGAGAAGGAAGCAATATTAGTATTCAATAATAATCAAAGTCTAATCTAAATAAAAGCTTTATATGCATTCCTTTATATAGGGAAACTAAAACCCTAAAATAAATAAATAATGATAAATAAACCCTTAAAAATTAAAAGAAAATACTTAAAAGATAAATATTAAAAGTATCTAAATAACTCTCATAACTAATCTATAATATCTATTCAATTCCTCTTCTTGTATAGACGAGCCTAGTCATGGGTGTGAAAATCTGTCTCTTCTGGTTTCTGAAGAGCTCAAGCTCGGATCAGCTCAGCTTGGAAGCTGTCATTGCAACCTAGATCCCAAAGCGGAAAAATATTCTACCAGAAGGAATTGAGACAAGAAGAATGGACAAAGATCCCTTTATCTAGGATCTATCCATACACATCTCATAAGGTTGCCTTTTAAAATCATGTTGAGAGCTTTTTTTTTTTTTTTTTATATTAATCGGTGCTTCTCACAGCTGGAGATGAAGGCAAGAAAAAAGTGAATGAAAAGAAAATTATAGAACTAAAGGACAAGTATTTGAGAGGATGACTTCCTGAAGGTGACATAGGAGACTTGTGGCTGTTGGTTTTGTGAAACTCTTCATGCCTAGATTTTGAGCAGACCATAGTTCATTGTATTTAATAGTTTGAATATGTTTAAACATTGAAGAATTGTATATAGAATTCTCGTTTGATGTATATATGTATTTACATATATATGTGCAGTGCAACCACAAAGATATATACATGCCCAAGTCACTAGCTTGGAAAGTGAGTTTAAAATAAAGCTCAAACCTGGGTCATCAAACAAATCAATGAATACGAATAAGCCTGCTTTGGAGCTGTGTTTGAGCAGTCATGAATAGCTTGGTGCATTTGTAGCCCTAGATGTTAATGCAATTGAACACATTGGCTTTTGATTTCAGGCATCATAGTATGAATGAAATTATCTAAATTGACTTGAAATCGAGCGAGAAAATATTTGATAACCCTATACAGCGTGTAAAGTTTGTCATGTAAAGATCTTTAAATCCATTTCCTTTCCTTTGATGCTAGAGAGTGTGAGGGGTGGGGTTGATTATGTTTTAGTATCTTGTAAGTTAAAATACTGAAGGCATCTGGAAAAAATTGATCTGTGAATCTCGGAATATTCTGAGTTGGATTATGTGACGGACAAACATCTGAGTTTGAAAACATGGTTGACAAATTACTATTTACTATCTAACTGATCCTACAAGGGAAAAAAAAGAAGAGAATTTGCTAGCTACTGTGTGTCATATTGTGGCTTCTTAACTTGCTTCTTTGCATTTTCTTTTTGATATAATTGTGCTTCTAGTTGAAAAAAGAATGAAAAGAATATATTTCCATCTTCCTTATCTGTGAAACTTTATCTTTTTGTAGATAATAAACAAAAGGCATACCTATCCAAAAAACTCACAAAAGTCATCTTACAATGTGCCTTATTTTTGTTAACCTCAATTGCATGTATTTTGCCTGAATGGTGTTGAAATCAATGGTGTTAAACAGGGCAGGTTGGAACCTATACAGGCTTATTTGAAGAAGAATAAGCGAGGGTTGGGAGCAGATGAGATAAAGCTGAAATCAGAGGACTCCAAAAAGAAGGAAAATCATGCTTCTGATGGTATGAATGAAAAAGTAAGTATTTTGTTCTTAAAAAACTTCTAGCATTTGTATTTGTTTAGAAAATTGTGCTGTTTATTATCAGGTACTTCTTACTGAATGCAAGGTTCTATCTGAAATAAAAGACAGCAATGTAGAAAAGTTAACCTCTCGAACAAGTAAAAGGACCATGACCTAAAAGGAAAAAAACCACAGAACAAAGGAAAAAGACATAGCATGGTGAGCTTATGTGAGAAATTGCCTTACTTTGGAAAGAAGATCGAAGGGTTGCTGATTGAGATATAACTACTGTCTACTGATGACTGACCTTTCAATCTATGTACCTCTAGACTGTAGGACATATGAATGACCAATGAGATCCTATGAGATCAAGAAGTCCAAAATCATAGAAAACAGAAAGGTTAATGAAGGCAATTTGGGTTCACGTTTGAAATGAATATCATTATAACTACTGTCTACTGGTGACTTACCTTTCAACCTATGAACCTCTAGACTGTAGGACATATGAATGATCAATGAGATCCTATGAGATCAAGAAGTCCAAATCATAGAAAACAGAAAAGGTTAATGAAGGCAATTAGGGTTCATGTTTAAAATGAATATCATTATAACTACTGTCTACTGCTGACTGACCTTTCAATCTATGAACCTCTAGACTGTATCATTTAAGTCCAGGATTTTGCTGTTGCGAACTATAGTTATGCAATAACAAGAAACTGCTGAGCAGGGTCACAGCAATAAGTGAAAAAATTCTGAAGATGTAGATTGAAACTGCTATTGGTGAAAAAGATAAAAGGATTGAATAGAGGTTGTAGGTTGCTGAAGGAAGGAGGTCCATGTCTCCACAGAGTGTGTAAATTAACAAATATATACCAGTGTGTCTTGTGTGGTTATTTGTTTTTGGACATTTTTCTGGAGAGAGTCCTTGGGCTTCCATGCAGAGGAGAAATATCCAAGATGAAAAAATTCATCCAATGCTTGCCGTATTATGCCATGGCTTGGGAAATTTATGAGTGCAAGTTACATTTTGGGGATTAGTTTGGCTTATAGATGAGTCTAGATTGATTTGAGCATTTGACAAGGATTTCATATTGTAACATCCTTGGCTCGGGTTACAAATATTGTAGGTTTCCCAAGGATAATTTAATTCAAGCTCTCTAGATATAGAATGAGTTCAATGGTGCAGGGGCCAGGACTTGTAACTTTAACCCCAGAACAATCAAAGTTTGAATAGATTCGAAAGAGGAATTAGAGTTTTTGGAGTTCTTGAGGAAGCTTTAGTGGGTTGGGGGGGGGGGGGAAGGATTGAGAGGGGCTGATCGGATAGAAGATACCAAGGATTTTGGCTGTTCCAGTTGTACTGCTCCTGAAGAAAAACTTGCAGGGTTTGTGTGTTTGAGTGGCAGTGTTTCTTTTTCAAAAAAAGTGGCAGTGTTTGAATCTTGGTTGAAGGAGATGATTGAGCTTGTAGAAGTGACAATTCTGGGCTTGAGAGGGAATGCTTGCAGGTCTGATTGCCGGATTAAGTGCTGAGGTTTAATAAGAGGGGGATCACACCTAAGAAATGATGCCTCAGATATTTTTTTCTTCATTCCATTCCAGTTCTACTTAAATAATACATGCCATCTAGAGTCACGACAGGAGTTATTGGGGATCAAGTGAACTTGGAGACCAAGTTGTTTGACTTTTTAAATTCTTGACTCTTGACCTATATACACTTACACCATTCGTTGGTACCTCCACCACTTAACAAATGTGCTAAAATTACATATCAATAACAAAAGGATAAAATCTTATCGGACAGTGCTATTCAGCGGCCAAGTGACCAAATTCTCATAGCGGAAATTATTGATAAAGCACTAATAAACTTTTCTGGGTTGCGTCATCTCAAATATTTGTCAAATTGCGCTGCTGAAAATGTCCTAGAGCTGCGGGGTGGAATAGGACTATAATATTTCTCACTATTTCTAGATCATTTATTTCAATCTTAAGAAATTAAACAATTAAGCATTTCCCAGATTTAACTGTGATGGGAACCACATTATCTTTTGCTCTAGTATACGTAAACTTAAAGTTTTTATATGCTTTCTTGGGTTTTATAGTCCTTTGAAAAATTCATTTTTAGGATATTATCTTTGTATTCACATTTAATTTTTAAATTTGCTAGAAGATATATGTTAGGAATAATAGACTATTAGAGTGATGATCTGGTGGTTATTATAAAAGGATGGATGTAGCCGACTTTGATTATTGTTTAATTGAGAATTTATTCTTCCAAATCTTTTCTTTCTCTGTGCTTCTACCATTCTTTTCTTCTCCACATTCTTCTTTTCCCTATTTCACTTTCGCAGTCTATGTCAATACGATATAGAACCCAACTTCAATCTAGTCACTTCTTCTCTTACTGTCAACACCTGTTGTAACCATAACAACTGCCTGCTGCATGAAATCATCACTTTCATGGCTAATTTCATTACTTTCATTACTTTGTGCGTCATTGTCTGACCAACGTTGTTGTTTCACATCCACCACACTCCACCACTTGCTTTCTCCCCTATTACAGGATTAACTTTTAACTTTTGCATTGATCAAACAAAAGAAAAAGGAAAAACATTATTGTTGTAATCACTTTTGCTGTACAGTCCACACAATAGAAGACTTGCACTAGAGTTTAAAAAAAAAATAAAAAGAAAAGAAAAATAATTATACTAGTTGCGATCAGAGCCACCTGGAGGAAGGAGGCTCCAGATTCAGCACTTGATTCGATGCCTTCAACCGATCTCATCCCAAGTCGTCATCATCTCACATCATTGTCTTTGTACTTACTGCCTTTCGCTCGATGGAAAAAGTCTTCACCAAAATCTTCTTTATTGTCATTGGTATCTTCTTCGTTTTAATTTTGACTGCCGCCCTATCATCTTGTCATTGTCGTCCATATTGGCCATAAATAGGTCTTTGAGCTTTGGCTAGGGTTTGAAAGTGAGAACCCAGAACCAATAGAAGAAGATGATCAGAGTTTTTGATTATTAGAAGGTTAAGAACCTTTACTTGACGCAGTTCTTTAGTAAGATCCTGACCTATTTCCTTAATTGGTTAATTTTTTACCGACAATCCAGATTATAATGAGTCAGATTTGGACCCGTGAGCTAGATTTTAATTGGATTAAATTTCGACAAACGATTCATATTTTTATTTGGTTAATTTTTTTATATCAAAGATGCATATTTTAATCGGGTTGATTTTTGACCCAAGCCCGACCTATTTGATCAGATTTGGCCTACAATTTCATATTCAGACTCCAAAAAAAGAAAAAAGATAAAAGAGAAGAAAAGATAAAAAAAAAAAAAAAAAAAAAAAAGTATGAAACTTTATTTTATGAAAGCTACTTTCTAGAATTTCTATAGGAGCAACTGCCTTCACTAAATTCAGAAAAAACTATGTAATTCCCCAAAATTCCAGGAACAACCCTAGATTGCCAGAAATTGTAAAGTACTTTGTACTAAGTACATTCTAAAGGGGTGTATTTGGCTTTTTGATTCAAAACACACACACTCACATATATTGAGATAGAGAGAGAGGCGGATTACTCTCTTTCGATTCTCCTTTTTTTCTCAAACTATCTCTTCCCTATTTTTTCCTAACTCTAATTCTTTAACCGTCACATGGTATCAGAGCTACCTTTTTAATCAACACATTCTTCTTCTTCTTCTTCTTTCTTTCTTCTCCTCAGTTTTTTTTTTGTGCCGATCGTCGGATCGTGGCAGTATTCTAAGCCATATTGAGGTGTTGTTGATGGTTGTTGGTTGAGTTCCCATGTTGTGGTCAATGTTGTCATCGATATTGGGTGTTGTGGCTTGTTGATTCGTTATGATTGGATTGGGGTTGTTCTGATTTGTTGTGATAATATTGTTGGACGGTAGATTTGGTCATGGTTCTATGATTAGGATAGGCTATTAGTGTCGCCGTTTGAAAAGCCTCCCGCCGGCGTTGAATAGCGTATGCCACACATCTATGTGAAGGAGACAACCCGTGTTTGGCTATCGGAATTGTCAACGCTATTCTAGTTTAGCGTATTCAAAGTTGGAACAACAAATTCCTAATTTAGATTTTATTCGGATCGGTTCAGGTGGATATCAGATCCAATTCTGGTTTATTGGGCTTGCTTAATCTAGTAGACACAGGCCCAAGGTCTATTCAGCTCCAAGCCCAATCCTGTTGGGTCAGATCGGTTCAATTCATTTGAAGGTTTATTTAGACTGGTTCATCCCAGCTCAGGTTAGTTCCATCCGGTTCAGGCCTTTTCGCTTCGGTTTAGATCGGTTCAAATCCCTTCTGGTCTGATTCATAACGGTTCAGGTATTTTCCTTATAGTTTGGTCTTCTCCAGCTTCTTATTTCTCCGGTTCAGGCTCCAGCAACCCTAGTTAGTCTCAGTTCAGGCTTCCTAAGCCATACTCCGCCCTAATTCAGGCTTTAGCTGCCCTCTGCTTCAGGTCAGGCCTCAACAGTTGTTTTCTGCTCATTTTCCACCTTTTTATGATCTCAGTAGCCTCATTCTTTGTTGCTGCAATGGCATCTGAGACTCAGGCCCTCCTCTATTCCCAAAACAGAAACATTGTCTTATGCTACTCTTTTTAATGCCCCCCTATGACCTCTATCAAATTAAATGGGAACAATCATGTTTTGTGTGTTAAATCAGTGGAGGTTTTTCTCAAAAGTAAGGGACTTCGTACCCATTTGGTGGATGCTAAAGCTAAGGATATAGCCTATAATTTTCAGATCTAGAGCAAGAAGATGCTTAGATTATGTCCCTAGGGCTGAATATCATTGAGCCTAATATTAGTTTCACACTACTATATTTAGATACTACAAAAGGAGATATGAGATTGATTGTCACATATGTATTCGGGGACCGGGAATATTACCAGCATTTATGAGTTGTGCAGGCAATACTATGGCCTTGAGCGAGGGACTCTGAGCCTTAAAGAGTACTTCTCAAAGGTTACGGGTGTTTGTGAAAAATTGAAGATGTCTTAACTTATTTCATTTGACATTCCATGTATGGAGCAGCAGCATGAGGATTTTTAATATCGTTCTCTTTCTTCTTGGCTTGAAATCTGGGCATGAGGCTATTTGTGCCCAAATTTTAGGAAGCTCGAAGCTGCCCTATCTTCTTGATATATTCTCTCGTCTTCAGAGGGCTACCTTATTAGATAATAGTTCTTCTGGGAGTATTGATCATAGTGGTGATCGTTCGACTTTGTTGTGGCCCCATGTGGTACTAGTGATTCTCGTGGAGGCTGTGGTGGTTGGAAGATGTGGTATGCGTGATGCCTCTAAAAGTGATAGAGGAGGTCGTGTTCATAATAACCACACCGTGGATTATTAATGGGACCTTCATGGTAAACATCTGGTCTCTTCTCATCAGGCTTCCTATCTGGACGAAGTTCCTCCGTCATCTAGCTCATCCTCCGGACCTTATCAGTCTCCCATTGCTGATCTGATTACTATTTTTCAGGATGAGAATATTTAGTTTGTAGCTCAGAAGCGTTATTTCTTCTTTCATTGCTACTTTTTCTCAGTCAGGTATAACATTAACTTGTTTACTGTTGTCCACTTCCAGGCTGTGGATTATTGATTGAAATGCTTCAGTCCATATGATTGGGTCTTCTTGTCAGTTATCTAACTTTCATTTTGTAGCTTCCTCTCCTAGTGTGACTTTTGCCAATAGTTCCTCCTCTAAGGTTTTAGGTTTGGGTCCTACTCAGCTTAGTCCCTCAATCTCCTTATTTTCTGTTTTTTGTATTCCTCAATTTTCCTTTAGTTTATTTCTATTAATAAAGATTACTTGTTCACTTAATTGTTCCATAACATTTTATCCCTCTTCTGTATCTTTCTAGATCTCAAGATGAAGATTAGTACGGGGTATGAATCAGGTGGCCTTTATTATGTTGACTTTGAGCCGACTCCTATAGCTTCCAAACCTCATTGTCCCTTCTTCAGTAGCATTGTCTTACGGGGTATGAATCAAGTGGCCTTTATTATGTTGACTATGAGTCGACTCCTGTAGCTTCCAGACCTCATTGTCGCTTCTTCAGTAGCATTGTCTTCTTGGACATACATCTCTTTTCATTTTGAAGTCTCAAGCTTTTAGTCTTTGTAGTCTGTTGTATTTGTCTTGTGCAGCATGTCAACTTAATAAGTACTATTGTTTGCCTTTTAAGTCTATAGGATTGATAATCGTGTTTCTAGTCTTTTTGAATTGGTTCATTTTGATGTATGGGGTCCTTTGGATATTCTTCTATTAATGGATTGCGTTGTTTTGTCACATTTAAGGAATGATTATTCTCGCATGACTAGGTTGCTTTTGATGAAATCTTGTTCTGAATTATTTTCCATATTTCAGTTGTTTCATAAGCAGAATTAGATCCAATTTGGCTATAAAATTCGTGTTTTGCAGTCAAACTGTAAAATTCGGTAAATTTAAACTTTTTACAAAAAGGACAAAATGGTAAATTGTCTCTACAGTATGGTTGAAAGCCTAAAATTTTCTAGAACTTGGATGACGAAACAGACCTCATCGTTGGATTAGTCTCGCGAAATCTAGTTATCTTGTCAAATTTTATTGCATTCCGAGGTAGTCGAATTTTTTATGTTTTACGAGACGATCGAGTCTCGGGTGACCCAAAAACGAGATTTTTGATAAAATTTTGAAAGTTGTAAAATAATTTCAAGCAAATTAAAATAAAAAATAATTTGAACTTGAACCGGAACGAAATTTAATCGTTTCGGGACGAAAACGGACCCGGAGAAAAAAGGGCCGTGTGGCGCGTTGTGGGTCAAGTATTCTAAGAGTATAAATAGGGGAAAAAATTAGATTTTTCTCTCATTCTTCAGCTGGTTTCAACGTGAGAAAAGAAGAGAGGGAAAGGGCTTGAGTTCTCCACCTTCTCTCTACGATCTAGGAAGCTTGAGTGCTCAAATCTACTCGGGCCAAGAGTTAAAGTCGGTCTCCTCGTCGAGGGCTACGCCTACGTACCAAAAACGAGGGTTTTCACCGAAGGTTTGAAAGGCGAGATTTTGGAGGAGCTTGGTTTAGAGTTCGGGCTAAATTATTGGAGTTTCTTGAAATTGATTTCACACTTCAAGAGGTAGGGTTCTTTCCTGCTCGTGTTTATTTTACAACTTAGAGTGTTTTATGTGATGGATAGGTTGATAGAGATATATATCACTTGCCTATGAATGTGGAGTTGATGGAATCGATTGATTTGGGAAATTGGGTATGTGAAATTGACCCAATTTAAATTAAATTCCTAGCTTGGAATTGGTATGTGGTATAATTACTTGTATTTCCATGGAATTTGGTATTATGTGGGCATGCTATGTGTTTTGATTATGCCTTCGTGAACAAAGTGTGTTATTTGGATATATATGAGGAAATAACATGCTTGTGAGTTATTGTTGGAAATGAAGTGTTGACGTATGCTCATTGATATGTTGACATTGAGATGAAATTGGTGATAAATTGCATGATATATGTATACATGTGGTTAAAGTTGCTCATATGACATTCATTACATGTGGGTATGACATTGAAGTAGCAATGGTGCATTATATTGCATATGCACGGAGACATTACATTTTATGGGTGTGAGTGTATGGTTGGCATCAAATACCACGTAGGTAGATGATGGGTGGGCTCGAAAAAGTTGGATTGAATATCTGGCTGAGTCACACGGTTGCATGAAAAAGAATTAGGTCGGGGTTAGCAAGAAGGGCTGGCCTATCCCTCAGGTGAGAGGCCCGTGTTCGGATATGCACTTCCGTTGGTATAAGAGCCCATAAAGTGTGTAGGTGTCCGTAGAACCGTTGGTGGAAGTCCATGAATTTCGTGTCGG